GAGATCTGGACCCTCACCACTCTCCTGGCCTTCCGTAAAGTGACCAAGACCTGGCTGTTCCGGCAGGCCTGGGGCTGTTGATTATTCCAGGAATCACATCTCCATTTCTTTAAAAAAAAAACCAAACACCTACTGGAGAACACTAGAAAAATCTCAAATTCTCAGATTTTACCTCTCCCAAAGCTTCTTGGTATTCTAACATCTTTAACTTCTTCTTTCTTTTCTCGCTCATTTTGGAAACAAGTGGATTCAGCAGCCTAAATTCTTCGCTCTTCTCGTCCACCTGGAAATCAGGATTCTCAAACATGACTTTGAAGCGGTCATCTCTAAGGATGTTAGGCATTTTCTGGAAGAAAAATGAAAATGGGAGTTGAGAAATGGTTCCCTTGCTTAACGTTTTCCAACTTTTATCTGTTAAAACGCATTTAGATCTCTAGAGACTTTTTGCAGAGCAAGAAGCAGCTTTGTGGGGCAGGGGGGGGGATTCTCCAATGAGTTATCCATTTGTACTCTTTATTTAACATCCTGCTAAACCAACTTTTTTCTGCCTTTTAATAGTTTGCTTGGGGGGGGGACTATAATTCCTCTTCATATATTCGCTATCGGATGAGTTTTTGTTTTGTTTTTCTTTTACTGTGAGTTGTCTTGAGGGCCATTTGTGGTGGAAAGGGTGGCTGTAAGTTAAACAAAGCACAACAAATGCAATTTGCAGGTTTGTGGAGGAAGAAGGAAGCTGCCAGACAGAATGTTTTATGTGTTTTTTTTCCCAAATTCTTCACCAGTCCTTGAAATGTCCACATAACTTACCTAATATTATGCTGACTTCGGCTTATTTATCTTACTTTGGGTTTATTTTTATTTCATTTGTTTACTTATTTAACTGATTTTAATGTACCTATTTGCACTTACACATAATTCAAGATAAAAGGTTATTTTAAGATCACAGTGACAGAAGGGATTGCTGCATTGAATGTTATGAGTGACAGTCCTCATCAGATTCCTTTGGGGGATGGAATAAATAGACATTTTCTGTAATAACTCCATTGTTTGGAGAACATCTTTCTGAGGAGATCCATGTATCCTTTACTCAAAATTGCCCATAACAAAACAGCTGGTGTTTGGTATGTAAGTGAGGTTCTTCTAATATCATAAGGAGTCACACTTTTAATTCCGTATACAGTGATTTTCTTGATAGTGTGGTTTTATTGCTAGCTTTTGAAAAATAGCATAGGTAAAGATTCCCCTCGCACATATGTGCTAGTCGTTCCCGACTGGGTGGGTGGGTGGGTGGGTGCTCATCTCTGTTTCAAAGCCAAAGAACCAGCGCTGTCTGAAGACGTCTCTGTGGTCATGTGGCCAGCAGGACTAAATGCCAAAGGCGCACGGAACACTATTACCTTCCCACCAAAGGTGGTTCCCTATTTTTTTACTTGCATTTTTACATGCTTTTGAACTGCTAGGTTGGCAGAAGCTGGGACAAGTAACGGGAGCTCACTCCATTACACGGCGCTAGGGATTCGAATCGCCGAACTGCCAACCTTTCTGACCGACAAGCTCAGTGTCTTAGCCACTGAGCCACCGCGTCCCATATTCAATTTTAACATGGGACAATGATTCTCACGCCGTAGCCTGTGAGCCATTCGGGATCCACCGAGGGAAAAAGGAAATATAATAAACGCCCAATCCTGACTACCTCTTATGCAC